AAATGTACCCCCACGCACACACATACATTAGCAAGAGCTATCTGGATAAACACAATCCTGTGTCATGTCTCCCTGAGAGTGACCCTAATTTTCCCCCAGTCCCTCCACAATTGCTGTGATTCTTGTTCTTGTCCTCTTGCTCCACGGAGGGTCAAACATSCTGCATCTCATTGTCCCTTCTGTCTCTTTAATTAGTGCCCGTCCTCCCCCTTCTCCCCCCCGGCTCGGGTGTCCCCCCTTCCCTCTCCTCTCAGCACTCTCTTTTCAGCGCTCCATTATTTCACCTTTCACGTGTGCTGCCTCCTTCCCCGGGCCCATCTGACACCTCTGCCTTACACTTATCATGGAAACGTAACATTTAAATACAAATAGAACAGGGAATAATTTAACCCCTATTTGCGCTGGGGAAGGTGCCSAGGCTGTGTATAAACATCTGACAAGTGGCATTTCTTCACCACGGCGCCTTGCAGCCGGATTTTCCTGGCAGGCACGAGCCTCCATCGCCGGCAGAGTGGTCAAGTAGAGGGAGGGATCCACGGGGATATTGSAAATGTCACCAAGGGGACGCCTCTGGGAATTGTGATTTGCCATTGCTGGGGTCTTTCTCTCCCTTCCTGTCCTGTGAGGATCTTGGGGTACCACATTCAGTCATTGTTGTGATCTGTTGATTGCAAAATGGGGTAGACCCGGGAGGAACTTAATTCTCAGTATTATCAGAATGCACCAGCAAAAACCTCCTTGGCTGTCCTGGGTGCCACCACACGCAAAAACACCAACCCATGGTCGCATATTTCCACGGCAAAGCAGGCATGATGGCCTCAGCTTGTGGAAAAAGACTGATAATGATGTGTGCAGTAGTGAGGGAAGACAGAAAAGTGAGGAGCAGAAGAGGTTCTTGTGGAATCCACATTCAGTTGCAGGACAGTGTCACTGCTCATAGAGCTGCTGGTTTAGGGGGTGAGATAGGAACTGAGTGAGGTTAGAGGGGTGAGATAGGAACTGAAATTGTCCCTTCAGAGAATGTAACAGACAGGGATTTGGACAGGTTGTTCTTGACAAAAATAAAGGGAAGACACTCAAGATGTGAGTCAATACCTGGTGCACAGCCTTGAGGAAGCCAAGTGGAGCGGGTTTCTCTCATCACAGCTGTTCCAGGACATGGTAAGCATGGTCACCATCTTCACCATCCTCACAGGGAGGAGGTGGAGGATGCTCCTCTTGGCTGCTCCTCTCTGTAGAGCCATCACTGTGTGACACTGTAAGGGGCAGCTCCCTCTCCATGGCCACTGGCCAGTTCACTGGACACAAGGCCAGTTCAGGTGGACACAAGGCCATGCCCACAGCTCATATTGGGGACATTTCAGATCATGGGCTCATGCCTGCCCTCTCTTTGTCCTTCTCCTCTGCCCTGGATGGGGGTATTCCTGCTCTCCTTGGCTGTGTGTTCACTTTGCCCTGGGACTCAGCTTTCTCAGAAGGTTCCTTCACCCCACAGTCCTGCAGCCTGAAAYGGTGCTGAGCACTGMRCCTGGCAGTGGARGAGAAGGGGACTGAGTCTGTCCAGRACTCTGAAACTCAGSTGTGGATCCYGAGACACACAGGTTTGGAACAGTGTCTCACTGKAAGAGGAGGAAGTGTGGGACTCAGGACAGTGATGTGGGGGGAGTGCAGCTGGTAGAACTTAGGAACAGCATCATCCAGGTTTGTGTGCAGCCTAAAACTGACTATTGTAGGATGCAATGCCCTCAAATCTCAATAGACAATACTGGCAACATCTGGTGGGAATCACCTGTGCTGTGCACATGTGCTCGAGGCATCCCAGCACATCCCCTCTTCATTTTGTTCTCACAACCTCATGGCCTTRTTTAGACATATTTGCAAACCAGAAGTAGTTGTCTCAGTGCATGGCATGTCAGGTTTTTTTGGGGATGTGGAAGAGTAGTGTATGATGACAATCAGGGTGTGAGAGCCTCAAACAGGACCATTAGAGGATAAACTCTTAGCCAAGACCTGGAACACATTGAATGGCCCCATCTTCTGGACTCTTTCCTCTCTCTTTTCTCAGGATGTGTGAGGGTTTTTTGTCAAAACAAGCATTTRGTTCCCTGAAAGAGCTGGGATGTGAGAGGCAAATGCAGCACTTTGTTATAGAAACCACTGAAAGTAAAACAACTCGTTAAATCGATTCATTTTTTATCAGTCTAGTGTGTGATTGTGTATATTTCTGAGGTGGCAGATATAACAAATGATTCCTCTGACTACACAAGGTGCTGTTTTCCAGGAGGGACACAGGATGCTGATTTGGAGATGGGGTTGGAGGTGCTGTCCAAGCAGTAGCTGTTCACAGGGAGCCCCTTCATGCCACCTCCCCTGGACCAGCAGCTCCTGGGGAAGGTGATCCTCACCTTGACAGAGCCTGCTCCTGATGGASCCCATCCTCTGACAGCCACTACAGCCCCAGTGCACTGCAAAAAAAAAAAAATGCAGGAGGGTGTGAAGTAAAAATAAAAATTTGAGYGGTTCCTAAAACACCTGTTTTTAACTTTGCATAAACTAGACCAGACAAGGCAGTTTCAGKCCAGTTCCACACTAGAGAGTTTTGCTGACAGAGGAGGGATGTGATTTTTTTTTTTTTTAAATGATACATTTATATTAGCAAAAAGTCTGGTGAAAACAGTTACACAGCTATAGGAGTGCTTTTGCTGATGCAGCTTATTCGAAACAGGAGAAGCTGTATAAAGTACAATAAAACACTCTTTTGTTGYGCTGCAAGTATTTACTAGGCATAAAGTTTCTAGGCAAAACCTTTTGCCATACATGTTCCCAGTTCTTTCCAGCTGATCTGCTCCCTTGAAATATCTTGCAGGACAGGAGGTCTCATTTGCTAGGTGAGTTTTCCCCCAGTATCTGCAAAACCTTTGGACTGGACTCTTTTCCCAAGGCTCTGTCACACCCTAGACTGGAAGATACCCCTGAAAGCACGCAGTAAACTTCAGGGGCTGCCTCTCTAAGGTTTACACCTCACATCTGGGRGTCTCTTCTGCAGGACACTTTGGCCATTGGGAAACCAATGTCCAAATCACCCTCTCCTGAGGTGGGGACAGCCTRCAAACTGCTGGTGTTAGTCAGGGCTTTGTGCACAACCACAGTCTGAGCTTTGTGTTGCCAGTAAAGGCCTCAAAATGCCTCCCTGCTTAATCAATACCATCATAAAGCAGAAAAATTTCTGGCTTTAACATGTCTGTCAGAAGGTTATTTCTGTTTTTTCTCACCTAACAGAAGTGCACCTGTATCTCCCTGAACATGTTTTTTCCTACCTGTTCAGCCTCCTGCTTTTCTGTGGGCAGCACACTTTCTTTTCTCATGGATAACTCAACTGCAAGGTTGAAAGCTCCTAATATCCTCATTCAATAGCCACTGCATGAAAAATTATTCACATCCAAGGCTGTAAAGTAATTTGCCAATGTGCAGGTGCATCTTGGAAACGGGATTTTTGATCAAACACTGGTTGAAGCAGAACAGATTGCCTACACCAGTGATTTCTCGGTGAACAAAAGTGACATGAATTGCCCAATTAGTCAGCCAGAAAAGGRTTATTGCAAACCAGTGTTTTGTTCAGCTTTAGGTTAACCTGTACATTAAAAAAAATAAATCAAATTAAAAAAAATGAAATTATTTAGGTATTTACATATATTTATTCAAATTAGTTACATCTGCTCTGTAACGTGCTCTGAAAAAACCCTCATGGTTCACACATTTACATAGTGTTTAATGAATCATAAATAAGACATTTATGAATCATGTGCAAATGGCCTGTTTACATGTAAACTATGTAAATTTCCTTTTTTTCCTTGGTGTAATGGTAGTAGTCTCTGAACAGAAACCTGATGGAGAGGCGTCACTCAGCCCCCTCTGAGATCCTTCTRACAATCATTACTTTGTTTTCACCAATGCTTTCTGGAGGGGTCTCATGAAGATTCCCCAAACTTGATATAAATCCAAGTATAAATCACAGAATGGTTTGGGTTGGAAGGGGCCCTGAAGATCATTTGATTCCAAGCCCTGCTCTGGTCTCACTCCAGCAGGTCCCTGTCCCTCCTGTGCAGGGTCCCCAGGGCTGGATGCTCCAGGTGGGTCTCAGCAGAGCGGAGCAGAGGGGCAGAATCCCCTCCCTCCCCTGCTGCCCACGGTGCTCTGGGTGCAGCCCAGGACACGTTTGGCTCTCTGGGCTGTGAGTGCACAGTGCTGGGTCACACTGAGCACCCTTGTCCAAAATACAATTATCCCTTAGCAGAAAATGTTCTGCTTTGGCATGAAATACCACCTGCCTGAGCTATTGCAGATATTGGCAACCATATGATTTCACTCCATGTTTCTAAAAACAATTTAAGTTTCAAAAACTTTGGGCTTTTTTCAAATGAACCTTGTAAATATRTTAAAAATCTCATCCAAACTAGTAGATACATGTCTCTGAGTGGGCATGAATGACAAATCTCCAGTTTACAGGCTGTGACTTCCCTTACTCCTGATTTAAATAAGCATATGTTAAACAGTTTTTTCCTGCAACTTATTTAGTATTGCGAGGGCTACTAACTTATTTTCCATGTGGACTTGGCTCCTATATGCTATATTTATCCACCTTGTTCTTGGATAGCAGTCTGAGCAGTGTTGTCATTTCAGTTACTGCAAACTGACTGCAAAAACTGATCAGAAGGAGCTGATTTGGAAACCTCGATTTTATATATGACCAAACCATTTTTGTTTGCTGTTTGGTRGCTTGATTTTTTTTTTTTTTTTTGAAACTTGCTGGATGATTTTCAAGTTCTCATGCGAAGTCAGAGGCTGTTAAGGTTTTTCAAGCCAGCCACCTGAAAAGATTAGCAGCTTCTGAGACATGTCACCTCGGTGAAGTCACCGCTTGTTTTGCATGTGATAGCTGAGCCATCTTGGCTTTCCCATCCCTCCTGAAATATGGTAAGCATCTCTTTATTTTGTTCCAGAAGACAGAAAACTCTTTGTGGGCATGCTCAATAAGCAGCAGTCGGAAGACGATGTGCGCAGGCTATTCGAGGCGTTTGGCAACATCGAGGAGTGCACGATCCTTCGGGGACCCGATGGCAACAGCAAAGGTAAGGGGTGCCTTGTGCTGAGCTAGACCCTGGTTTTCTTCATGAATGTATCATTTTCTGGTGTGACAAAAGCATCATGTGGCCSCCATTGGCGTCTCTTGCTTTAGGAGGGGTCACATTTTCACTCTGCTGGTCACTCTGCTCGTGCATGAGAAGAAAAGGCTGATTGCATTTTAAAACACATGTATCCAATGTCACACCACGCACAAACTGACCCTGTAATTGCTGGGGCAGAGCCTCCCCCATAACAGGGCCTTTACATTCACCCAAGAAGTGCTCTCCCCACTGAACAAGAYGATTCTTTCTTTGAAAAGGCCAAGATTGGTACTTTACATCATCACCCTCTGGCCCCAGCATCAGCTCCACTCATCTCTCCTCCACCAGCCCCAGGTTTTTCCAGACTCACCTGGTTTTTGCATGGGCTCCTACCAGCCAGTGAGCCCAGCTGCAAGGGCACAGGTGCCCGTTTAAATATTGCATCATTACACGTTTACTGTTTGAAACATGCAAATGCTCCATTGCAAAATTAGGAGTCTTTCCTCCTTCTGACACTTCTTGGATAGCAAGACAAAAGGTCTTCTGCTACAGGCCAGGTGTGAGAATGAAGCTTCTCTCTTGTACAGGAAGGTCATATTTTTCCCACATCATTCTCTGGAGGAATTCAGACTTCAGTCTGAATAGGGAACCCTCTTCTCCTGGCGGTATAATGTGTCCATTAAATATTGATCTGCATATACACAGCATGAACTGTGTCAGCATGGGCAACACCAGACAAGAGGCCAGTCCTGCCAACACAGTTCTTATCTCATTGGATATTCTGACAAGTGACAACATCAACCAGCACATTTTTGCAGCAGGGAGGCAAAAAAATCCAAATCACAGCGATGCACTGGAGAAAGATATTGTTATTCCATAAAATCATTGAAGGCCGAAAAWAAAAAAATCCTTCCCACCATCCTTATGGCTGTTCAATACACATCAGCGCAGCTCAGCATCCATGATATAAAAGGCTGAAAATAAGCTGTGGGCACCCTCCTTCAATTGTGTGGGGACTTCAGCTCTGCAACTCCCAAAGACAGGGGCTGCCCCACTGGGAAGGAGCAGGYTGGGATGCCCTAGAGGAGCTCCAATCACCATAACAGCAGACAGTTAAGCACGTCATTCACTGAACAAATCAGTAAAATGGGTGAAAGCAAAAAAAAAAAAAGTCTGTCTGCTTCCACCTGGAATGAAATCTAATGACAAAGGAGTTAAACAGAGTAATAATAAAGGCAATAAAGTCTGAGTTCTGTAAGAAACAAATTCCAGAGGAGATGCAACCCACAGGCTTGTCTTCATACTTGCTCTMTCTTTTTATTTTTTTCCTCCTAAAACAATTTCATTATAAGACAGAATCTGAGTGRCAGCTCCATATTGCTAACCAGTTTAATTATTAGTGCTAGCAGGCTGCAGTCTCAGGCTGACGTTTCAGTGAGCTGTTCAGGATCAATACTGAGCCTTGACAGAGTTAATATTACCAGCTTCCATTTGCTGGTGCTATTTACTGAGAATGTGAAGCTCCTAATTTACACACACACAGTTTCGTGCATGCACACACGCACACAGAGCAGTCAATCCAATGGAAAACTTAAGGCTAGTGCCCTTATCTTAGGAGACAGTCAGGCAAGCCACAACTCCCACAAAGTTATTCCCAGTCTGCAATGTTTTCCATCTGCTAGAAACAAATATGTGACACACATTGCTTGTGAGCTACTTATTTTGGGTAAAACCCATAAGGCTTAAATTCTACGTAAGTTGAGATTTAAGCAGACTGTCTAAATTCCAGATAGCAGTCAGATCCCATGCACTTAAATCCCACCCAGCCCGCCAGGTATCCCTGTGGTGAGCCTCTACACCCTTCTGGTAGCTCAGGGCAAGTACTGGTCTCTCAGAAGTTGTGCTGCATCTTCCCAGTTTGATGCCAYCACAGTCCAGTCATGACCAAAAAGCTGCCTGAGCCTTTCCTGAAGCCACGGGCACTCTCCTGAGCCACGGGCCATGCCCTTCAGGTCTGCRGAAATACCCCCTGCACGAGTCACAGCGCTAGGAGCAGTGAGATGCTGGGACTGAGGAATTTCTCAGCCTAAAGGGGAATGCAGCACTTTTTTTTTTTTTCCTGGGAGAGCATGGAGTGATTCTGCACCCCTCCAGGTAAAGCTCAGTGTTGAGCCAGGAGTGCAGGAGCTCTCAGGTGAGGGAGCTGAAGTGGATCCAGGAGAACCCACAGAGTATTCATTGCTGCTCTCTGTCCAGCTATTTTCCCTTCTTTATTTTTTTTCCCATTCAGCAGTCTGGCTCARTAACTCATAAAGTAAACATTTCCCACAGCACCCTTCAGGAGCAGAGCCTTACCACCCTCTGCAGTCACAATCCTATGGCCTGAGTCTGCAGTCTCCTCCAAGCTGACAGAACAGTCAGGGCAGCCCTTCCAGCTCATGTCTGTAAGCAAAGAAAAAAGGAAATCTTAAGCACATGTATCATCCTGAGGGGCAGAGGATATATCTGTGTGTGTATCAGAATCCTTTCACACTCCAGAGCTGCTCCTGTCGAAAGGACACCATGCTTCTGAGAAGAGTGACATTCCTCATGTCCTCAGCTCACCAGCTCCTGGAGTCAGCTCTGAGGACAATGGGCAGGGAGATTATCTGCATTTTTGGTGTTGCTCACAGAAGCCATCCCACTGAATGCACAGACCAAAASGACAAAATGTTGGGATGTCTGCTATTGCCTGGCCAGATACACCAGTAAAWGCTGAATTTTCACTTGACCTGCTACCTCAAAACCTACTGGAAGCAGTTAATGTGAAGCAGTAGGAGGGATCCCATTAGAATCCTGGGCATTAAACAAGAAAAATGTCTGCTACTCCCATCATTCCCACCTTTATCCAGCTCCACTGATCCGTCAGGACCCTCAGCACAGGGGTGAATTTCACCTGAAAAGAGTGAAGCCTTCAACATGACAGCAACACCACAGCCAAAAATCCTGCTCTAAATGAAATTGGTGACTGGAACTGGAAAGCTTTTGTATATTTGCTAATCAGCATCTTCTTTTTAGAGGCAGAAAGTACAAAAGAATCTCTGCAAATAATTAAACACCCTAATTCTGGATTATCTCTGATTAATGAAGGGGAAGACGAAGTATCTCAGGAGCCCGGGAATGCTGGGCTGGGATTATGTCATAATTGATCCCCATTGTTTCCAGCTGAAGTTTATCTATCTCATTTTCTCATGATTGTCTCCTCTCAGCTCCTTATAAATTAGATCCAACTATTAGCAATAATCATTGGACCTTTCCTGAAATGCAGCCTGAGCACAGGGCTGAGAGAGTGAAGCAAAGTGAACAGCTCTGAACTGTAAGACATTTTATGTATATGTATTAATTTTAGAAGGGGCTATCAATACATTCTTCAAATTCACTTCTATCTGCCTGCAATAATGCTTTTGGGGACCTTTGGGGTTCATTCTTCCAGCCTGAAAGTTCTATTGCTTCATTTTTCAGCCTGTGCTGTAGGGATACAAAAGGGTGTGCAGACCTTCCAAAGGTGCTCCAGAGGGGCTGAAGGAGAACCATCCCACTGCCAGGATGGCATTCCCTGCACTGTCATCTGCACCCCTTCAGGGAAACTGAGAGGGCTTTGCAAATTGATTAAAAGCTCAAAAGTCTTTGGTAGTAATAGGAGGGGATGGAAGCCAAAACTTCTCAGATCTCTCCCAATCTGTTCCAAAAACTGCCTTAGCATATGGAAATTACCCTTCCTAGCTCTGAGTCAGTTTGCTCGTAGCCAGGAGTGTTGTCAATACTTTCCCCCACCCTAGAAGAGCACATAACCCTCTGAAGTGTTGATCATTTCTGCACTCCAGCACACATCCATAAATGCACCTTTCTGCCCCAGAACCTTATGTAAGAGCTCGGTGTGAGATTCCCCACGTGGCAACGCAGGCCAGAGAAACACTGCCCACATCCCYCTGATGTCCAGAACACAACACCCACGCAGGCACTGACTTTGCAGCGATGACAAACTCAGATTTTTCAGCAGCAATCAACACATGGGTACCTCTCCCACCCCTGCCACTTCACCAGAAGGTGTCTCATGCTTTGCCAGACCCAAGTGGCTTGGAGCCAAGACAAGCTCTGGGCAGTCTGTCACGGAGCTCCTGCAGGCWGGGATAGGATCAGGTGCCTCGTGGGTTTGGAGTAACTCTAATGCCTTCTGTGCATTTGTCCTGTGGTTGCTTGTACCAGGTTTGTGCAGCTTTCCAATGACTTGYGTGTGCTTCCATGCTGTTTGTCACAGTCACAGAGGGAGGAGTGCTCAGAATTAAGCTAAATACAAGTAAAAGAAAGAGCTTTTTTTTTTTTCTCACAATAAATTGTAAACTTTGTGCGAGATTCTGCCATTGAAAGCTGTGGAAGTCAAAGCAGGAATAGATTGAAGACGCACTGGTTAAGTTTGTGTCTGTCAGTGTTCATTACAAGCAGTGTGGGAATTCTGGAAACAGGTTTTCCTTAAGAGGTCCCCAGGCTGCTGATGACTGGACTCTGAAAAGACCAGGACACATTTTTTTGTCACTCTTTGTTCACAACCATAATTACTGGCCAGTTCTGAGGACAGGATACTGAGCTAGATGGATTTTCATGGTCTCTATGCAAACTTTCTCACACTCTTCTTTTTTCCTCTTCCAGGGTGTGCATTTGTGAAATACTCTTCACATGCAGAGGCCCAAGCTGCCATCAAYGCCTTGCATGGCAGCCAGACAATGCCGGTGAGTAGCTCTGTAACATGGGCAAGTGAGAATCAGACCAGYCCTGGCTGCCCTGTGGCCTGATTGAGCAGGAGAAATGATTTATCTATGCTCTGCAACTCATCATCCAGGAAGGCTCAGAGCCTTGGGTGTGTTTAACTCATCAGTGGAAAGGCTGGGATGACACTGTCATTCCTCACAGGCACAAAACCCCAGAGGGTGCTATGCTCTGTCACCAGCAGTTTTGATGACATGGGAAAAAAAAAATGACATATGGTTCACAGGCGCCAAAAATTTGGGGCCAGACTCGCCACAAGCACAGCCGTTCAAGTTTCAGGGGGATGAATGAAGTAGAAACTTGTGTCTAAGGGTCTCTTCACTTTCCCTTCTCAAAGAGACCCTGCCTCCTGGCAAAGAATAAAGAACTTTTTGCCAGCATTCAGCAGAGAGCAGCACATTCACATCATGGTAGTAGGRGCTAGAGACAGATCATACAGCGACGGGCACCTTTTGCTGCTGCTACAAAAACACCAGCCTGGGCATAGGTGTGTCCCATACCCCTGCCCTCAGAAAGGTGTCAGACCAACTATTGGATCTTCCAGGACACACCTGAAGGATCACTCCTCTTGCACAAATTTTTAGTCACATGGGGTTTCAAGACTGATTGTTCAAGAAAATAGAAGTGGGGTTGTGTCTCCGATGCAAGGAGATATTTGTACACCATCATGTCATGAGACAGAGAAGAATGGAAGGCATTCCACTGTCAGTAGGAGAAGAAAATCTGGTACAACTTGTTTTGGTTTATTATAATAGTGTATTATTTTTATTACTAATTATTCACAGTGTAAATCATGGAAGGCTAAGAAACATGCTGACAACTTGGAAAGGATACAAGAAAGCTCAATTAAAAATATTTGAGAGTGTAAAATCTCCCTTTCAGTAAGAGACTCTAATGTAAATTCATGAATTTATCCAAATAAGTTTAAAGTGGGCCCGACAGATTTTCTGTAGATCTTTTCAGGGAGGAAAATGGAAAATTCTTTGCAAGCAAAAAGGTTTCTAAAACTAGCAAACCATCAAGATCTCTTTTTTTTTTTTTTTTTTTTTTTGGAACGTCATCTTAGACAAATCAGTTTTAAAATGGTACATGTTTACCAGTGATGCTACCAAAAAAAGTCTCCTTAAAGATGGGGTCTCCACTTTTTGAAGCACTTGAATACTTTTAAAAGTCTCTTTCCTAAAAGGCTCTTTCTAACAAAACCAGATGTTGGGCTTGATGCTGACATCTCATACTCTCATATTATGGACATCATTCCTGACACAGGTTAGAGAGGTGCTTTTAGTGACTTTCTTTGAAACCTGGACCCTAAGTGATAGTGTCTATAAGCTGACATCAGGAATTTCAATTCAGTAGGGTGAAACTATTAAGGTTTAATAAAAGTCAGTCCCCATCCCAAAAATCCTGCAAAGTCCTGTGACAAAGGTGAGAGGAAGACATGAGAAAACAAAGACAAAACCCAAGGAGAGTTGAAAATTTTATCTTTATCGTTATTCTTCCCCAACCCGTTCCCTTCTTACTTTTAGAACACTTCCAATAAGAAAAAAGTACTCATCTCACAACCACCTGGAAACTACTTATGGCTCCATCCTGGTGCTATCACTTGAGCTCAGGAGATACAAAACACCTGAAAATTTGGCCATTTCATGGGTCAATTTTCTGGGACCATTTGCCCTCTTGACTTACCTGATTCAAACACTTGTTATAGAAATATTCTTGAATAGCCTGACTGGACATCTGAAAAAGTACCATAATTTAATCTTTACTAGACGCCCATCACAGACTCAGAACTGAGTTTCCATGACTTCACAAGTTTCCATGAATCCATGTCTGAACCTCACAGTACTTACTCTTAGTTCACAGAAAAAAAAACAAGGAGGAAATTAAGAATTTCCTCCTCTTCATTATAAGCTAAGTCATGTGGCATTGCTCTGTGTCTACAAGCAGGCACAACACTGCTGYCATGCCCTTGCAGAGCCGTGAGGACCTGCAGAGCCACCAGCACTCAGTGAAGATGTGCAGCACAGCAGGTTTTGCCCACAGTGGATCAATGTTTCTAAGGCACTCGGAATGAGATAGCCCAAATCCCGCCAGGATCTCCGCACCCATTCTGGTGTTGGTGGCACTGCCGGGTGTTCGGCGTCGTTCAGGACTTTTTTGGGATGATCACAGGGAAATGCAGCCACCTCGTGGTGAGATGACAGCGCAGCCCATCATCCTTGGGAAGGAGCAGGGCATTGCTGCCATTTTCCCTCTTCCCCTTCCATGGCTCTCACTCTAGGACTGGCCTCGTTCGTCCGCTTACGACTCCAGCTCAGTGTTGCCGCTGTGGTTCGGCCGATTTCAGCATCTCTTGGTTTGTCCTCGTGTACCTCCAGCAGGGCATCCATCATCATTCTCGTCAGGTCTCGAGCCGTTCCTTCCTGCGGCAGACTCCTGTTTCTCCACAGCTGTCAGGATTATTGCTCTGCTGTGACTTCCTGTTCACACAACATATGTTGCCTAATAGTTTCAAAAGGCGACTTTCTTTTATGAAAGTTCTTTCTTTTTTTTTTTTTTTTTTTTTTAATTAACCTTACCTTGGACAAGTGCCTGACCACCGTCCATTACAACCCCATTTCTCTATGCAAGGCACTTGTTTCTCCTAAGGGTCCACCAAGTCTAAAGCTTTCCAATTTTTTACACACTCAATTTCCTTTAGAAATAAGCTGCCCAGAATTTTATTTCTTAAAATAAGCTGCCCTTAMTTTAGAGCAGGAGCAAAGTTCCTTCTTGGAAGGAAGTCCTTATCTGGAAGGATACCTGTCAAGAGAGTTTCCTTTYTGTCTTTTTAGATCATATTTTCTATCAGCTCATCAACTTTATSGGAGTGTTTTACTGGATCTCTGTATCATCCTTTATAAGAGATCCTATTTTTCATGTACTTTTGCTCGTATTTGTAATATATTTACAGCAATTACTTGTCCTGTGCTTAGCTTTGATTACTCCATTGCCTCCTGTCTCTGTTTCCCATCCATATGGAGATGTAAACAGGTCTCTTCACATCATTCCCTTCCCTTCCTCATCCAAGCYTTGTCCCTCACAATCATCCACCAGCACAGATTCAGCTGTGATTGCTGCAGTGACAGCTTGCAGATCTAACTTCTCTGCTTCAGGACTGACTCCTATCCAAACCAAAATCTTGGTCAGTCTTTCCAGCATCTCCTGGTGGATGTTYAGGTGTCAGATCAAACTCAATATGTATAAAACAGAGCTCTTGAACTTTTCCACCCAAAACCTGCATTTTGTCTCCTCCATCTCCATTCTCAGTCACTGTGGACAATATTATCATCCTACCTGTCATCGTGCTCCTTCCTAGGCATCATCTTCAGCTTGGTTTTCCCCTTCTCCCTGTGTCCTCATATCTGGGTAACAGCCAAATGTTAAAGAGTCATTCTGAAGAGCACRTCTGAAAAATCTAAGATGTGGCCTTGTCTATCCACCCACAGAGAACAAACTCTTCTCCACAATTCATAGGACTGTCATAGAATGATTTGGTTGAGAGGGACTTAATGATCATTTACACATCCATTATCAGGAGAAGAGATGCTTCCAACCAGACCAAATTGCTCAAAGCCTTGTCCAACCAGGCCATGGTCACTGCCAGGGATGGAACATCCACAGAATCCCTGGCAACCCATTCCACTGCCTCACCACTCTCACAGTAACAAATTTCTTCCTAATAGCCGACCTAAGCCTGATCTCTTTCATTCTGAAGCTGTTCCTCCTCATATGTTGCTCCAGACCCTCGTCAGAAACCCCCTCCAGATCTTCTGTAGCCCTYTAGGCACTGGAAGGAGCTGTAGGATCTCTGAACCTTGTCCACCCTAAACAACACCAACTCTCTCAGCCTGTTTTCATAGGAGAGGTGCTCCAGACCTCCAGACCTTGTGGCCTTCTCTGGACTTGATCCAACAGATCGCTGTCCTTGTGGTATTTGGGGCCCCAGAGCTGGATGCAGCATTGCAGGAGGGTCTCAAGAGAGGAGAAGAGGGGCAGAATCATGCTCATTTAAGTCAGAGCACAACTATCCTACCCAGAAACTAGACAGGGTTAAAATATACAGTGTTGTTTCACCCTTTTCACCRTCTCACCCAGTGTGGCAACTCAAAATTTCTTTGGTTATGAATTCATTCCTGGGAGGGGTAGAACGGCACTGTTACAAAGTACATTTCCTCAAGGGGTGAGAAGAAGTGAAGAGTGTGATTTGTTTGACTCATGTTTAACAGTCTGAAAGTTTGTGATCTATTCTAAATATCCTCTAGGGCTCCTGCAGAAAGGAGAGAGAGACATTTCCAGAGATTTGTGCATTCTTCCCTTTATTGTGCCAGGATGGGCAATATCTGGGCAGGCCTGTCCCATTATAAAGGATTACTCAATAACAGGCTTAGACTGAGTGTCTGAGGTGGCACTCATCTCACCCAATCTGAGAAATCCAGAAGTTAGGAAACTTGTGTCTGAGGTTGTGATCTAAGTTTCTATTATAATCAATAGAGGGAAATAGATATACTGGAAAAATTTTATTTTACAGAAATAGATTTTGAAACCTGTCAAGCTAATAGGCAAGCCCAAATAGAGGTGTGCTTTTTAGCTAATTTTAGGCATCAGTTTTCTATCGTCCGCCAACTCCTAAATAGTGGCTCTTCATCCAGTGTGCAGCTTAGAATGAAAAAGGACCAATACTGCTTAAAAACCACAGCTAAAACCATTGCAGCTTAGAGTGAATACTTCATGACAAACGTGAGGAGACCTGAAACCTGTCCTGGATGGGTTTTGCCCAGGCAAAGTAATTTGGGATTCAGAAACCAGGAACTCTGCAGCAGAGTCCCCTGACTCCTGTTCCATTAGGTGTGCTGTGAATTTGCTTACCACACTGTCAGTGTTCATTCTGTATCTTTCTTTAATTAATGATGTTTAAGGCCAT